GCTAACAAAGGCTTAAGAGTATTAAAAGGCCTACTACGATAAGCGCTATATACCGATAACCTTTAAACAAGGCGATATAGTTATACTTAGTATAAAGAACCTCCGCATCCGTAAGCACCTATTACCTAATAGTAAAATAAGGCCTAAGCTCGCACTAAGATACATTAGCCTATTCCGCATTCGAGAAGTTAAGGGCTCTTCCGTATAGGCCTACTAGTTATAGCTTCTACCCTATTACACTATCTATAATACCTTCTATATATCCCTCCTTAAACTATACTACTAGCGCGAAGGCGATAAAGCGCCTACTAAGTTAGAAGAAGTCTTAGCTAATAGTAAAGAACTGTAGTCTATAGAGCGCATACTAAAGCATCGGACTAGATAAGGTAAGAAGGAGTACCTCCTAAGATAGTAAGGCTATTTACCTAAATAGGACTCGTAGGAGGCTAAAGACTCTTTTAAGGATATAACTAAGTTGTTAGACGGGTATTAGACTAGTATAAAGGACAAGAAGAAGGCTAAGAGGCTATAATGTTACTACTAGGGCCTAGGAACAATGCTACCCCTAGGATACTATTAAGCTAACTAATTAGAGGCAAGCAATTGTTAGCAAAGGACAATAAGACTATACTACGATAACGAACGCGCAACGAGTACTAACGAGCGCACTATAACTATTAACCAATCGCCTACTCTTTTAAAGAATCTACCTCTTTACTAGCGTACCTTATAAGGTCCTCCTCTTAGCGCCCCTCTTGTTTCTATATCCTATTAGGACCCTAAGGCCTAGGCGGTCGATAGAGGCGCGCGCGCGCGTAGGCAAATAGTGCTAGTAATAATAATAGTAACGACGGCGTTACGCTCGTACTAAAGGGCGATACGGCCGGCGCGGCTATATTAGTAACGGTATTGCGGAGTGTATTATTAGTCGAAGAAGGAAATCGAAAGCAAGGTAAAGTTAGCGCTAAGACGACTAGCGCCGCTATTGTCGATATTACTTACTATTATTACTACGCCTATAGATACAACCTTACTTATACTACGAGCCTAAGGCACCTTAATTAAAACTTTAATCAAAACTTTAAGGCTAAGTTAAAACTTTAAGCCGCCTAAAAGATTAAGCGACTAATAGACTAACTAAGGGCAAAACTATAGAGCTAAGCTAGCCGGGGTCGATCTTGCGGACAATAGGTTACTCCTCGATCTTTCTAATCCTTTAAGCGAGGCGAACCTTAACTACTACACTTATAATAGCCTTTACCTATAGAAACTAGACGAGCTGTGTTTTTTCTAAAAAGTAAATAATAGCCCTCGTAATAACAAGGATAAACCCTCGGAAGCGGACAACCCTCGGAAGCGGACATTGCTAGGTCTTTTAAGAGTAGACGCAAAGAACTCGATACGATATTACTTAGAACGGAGGCAGTACTGCAATACCTCGTACGTCTACCTATTATAGTAGGTAAGACGCGCTCGTATTATAATTAGTCGAAGGCCTTTAATTCTTATAGATATATATTACTTTATAGTTTATTATATATAGAGATAGCGTAGTTAGAGTTGTATATTGTATTGTTTGGAGGTAAGGTTTAATATAGTTACATAATTAGGTAGTTAAGTGTTTAATTTAGCGCGGGCTAAGTAGCTTATTAGACTTGCTAAGTTAGCGGCAATAGAGGTCGTAGACTATAGATAGGCTACGAGGGCGCGGCCTTTAGAAGGGAAGCGTATATTAGGGCTAAAGAGGCTACACGTAATTAGCATGTAACTAGGCTAAGTAAAGCTAGGGTCTCAGTGCCTTAGGCAGGGCTTGGCGCTTAGTAATAGGCTAACTTGCCTACCTTCCTCCCTCTCCTCCTAGCTCCTTATCGAATACTACCTATACCTACTACTACCCTATCTACCTACTAATATACCCTTCTTATAGGCAGAATGCTACGCTATAGTAGTACCTACGCAGCTACATTAATAAGAACCCTAATAACTAGGTTAATCTCCTATAACTAGCCGAATTCGTATACAATAATAGTGTCTACTTATCTACTAAGGTGTTACCTTATTTCGCTATAATAGGAAGCAACCCTACGCTACTATAAGACCCCCTATCGCTCGAGGCCGAGCGTAAGGAAAGGGAAGCGTATTAAGTACTAATACCTAAGATACTAGCGGCTATTAAGAGGGTTTAAAAGATGCGAGAGATTTACGCTAAGATAGCTAACAAACTAGCGAAGGCCTAGGCCTATTAGAAGGCCTATTACGACAAATACTATATACCGATGACCTTTAAGCAAGGCGATATAGTTATACTAAGCACTAAGAACCTCCGTATCCGCAAGCACCTATCCCCTAATAGCAAAACAAGGCCTAAGCTCGCACTAAGATACATTAGTCTATTCCGCATTCGAGAAGTTAAGGGCTCCTCTATATAGGCCTATTAGTTATAGCTTCCTCCTTATTACACTATCTATAATACCTTCTATATATCCCTTCTTAAGCTATATTACCTACGCGAGGGGGATAAAGCCCCTACTAAATACGAAGACATACTAGCGGATAGTAAAGAGCTATAGTCTATAGAACGTATCCTAGATTATCGGACTAGGCGAGGCAAGAAGGAGTACCTCCTAAGATAGTAAGGCTATTTACCTAAATAGGACTCGTAGGAGGCCGAAGACTCGTTTAAAGATATAACTAAGTTGTTAGATGAGTATTAGACTAGTATAAAGAACAAGAAGAAGGCTAAGGGCCTATAATGTCGCCTAGGAATAATGCTACCCCCGGGGTGCTATTAGCTAACTAATTAGAGGCCGGCAAACTAGGACAATAAGACTATACTAGGCGCGCTACGACGCGTTAATTAATCAATCGCATACTCTTTTAAGGACTCTACCTCTTTACTAACGCGCCCTATAGGTCCCCCTCTTGTTCCCTTATTCTATCGAGGCCTCGAGGCCTAGGCAATCGGCGAGGACGGCGCGGCCGGCGCGGCTATATTAGTAACGGTATTGCGGAGTATATTGTTAGTTAAAGAAGAAGATTAGAAGCGAGGTAAAGTTAGCGCTAAGACGACTAGCGCCGCCATTATTAATATTACTTACTATTATTACTATATCTACTAAGACAACCTTACCTATACTACGAGCCTAAGGTACCTTTAATTAAAACTTTAATTAAAACTTTAAGCCGCCTAAAAGATTAAGCCTATTAAGGGTTTAATTAAAACTTTAACTAAGTTAAAAGATTAAGCGACTAATAGACTAACTAAGGGCAAAACTATAGAGCTAAGCTAGCTAGGGTCGATCTTACGGACAATAGGTTACTCCTTAATCTATCTAATCCTTTAAGCGAGGCGAACCTCTACTACTATACTTATAATAGCCTTTACCTATAGAAACTAGAAGAACTAAGTTTTTTAAAAAGAGATAATTAGTTAATACTTAAAGGCTACTAAACCTAACTAATTAGGGCTAGTAAAACTACGAACAATAAGAATAATAACCCTCGGAAGCGGACAAACCCTCGGAAGCGGACATTGCTAGGTCTTTTAAGAGTAGACGCAAAGAACTCGGTACGACATTACTTAGAACGGAGGTAGGGCTACAATACCTCGTACGTCTACCTATTATAGTAGGGAAGACGCGCTCGTATTATAATTAGTCGATAGTCCTTAATTCTTATAGTTATATATTACTTTATTATATATAAGGATAGCGTAGTTAGAGTTAGACATTGTATTAAAAGTAAGGTTTAATATAGTTATATAATTAGGTAGTTAAGTGTTTAATTTAGCGCGGCTAAGTAGCTTATTAGACTTACTAAGTTAGTAGTAACGGAGGTCGAGGTTAGAATATAGAAAGGCTACGAGGGCGCGGCCTTTAGAAGGGAAGCGTATATTAGAGGCTCTACGTAATTAGTATGTAACTAGCTCGAGTAAAGCTAGGGTCTTAGTGCCTTAGGCAGGGCTTAGCGCTTAGCGTTAGGCTAACTAGCCTGCCTTCCTCCTTCTCCTCCTAGTTCTCTATCGAATACTACCTATACCTACTACTACCCTATCTACCTGCTAACATACCCTTCTTATAGTAACTAAGCGCCGTTTACTAGATTAGTTAATAGCGATAGCTCGTTATATAGGTTCTCGAGTTAGAGGGAGATATTGCCCTTCTTAGCAAAGGTTACCTTCTTCTTATCCTTCTTCTTCGACTATTTTATTATACCTTCCTTTATACGATAGCCTCTAACAACGGCAAAGCGGTTAGTATTACGACCTTCCTTTATTAGATAGAATATACGAGCTATATTATAGTCGTATTAGTCTATTAAGTGCTCGAGAACGACCTTTAAGCTATTACTAGCACCTCGTACGTCCTACTAACTATTAGCTTCTAGCTCGAATAGGCCTCCGCTATCGACTCGAGAGGTAATACTACTAAACTTACTATATAATCTATCGAATAGTAATATAGCGAGCCTGCCTCGGTACTAGGATCGGGGGACGAAGAAGCGACCTTATATATATAAGGCTCCTTATACTATTTCGAGCGATATATAGTAATTACTATATACGTCGCGTTATACCCTTCCTTATAATACTCTACCTTCCGAATACTATCTAGTAACTCGCGTAGCCGATTAGTATCCTACCGACAACGATAATAGTATATTGTCCGCTATATTAAGCTATCCTTATACCTCTCCTATAGCTTCTAGTACTAGAAGTTGCTAGTAAATAGCTATACCTTGCTATATTTGTCTTTGTCTAAGAATAGGCTATTTAAGGGTAGATTAAAGAGCTAAGAACGTAGTAATATATCGAGATAAGAGGGGATTAGATAGGCTATTGTAATAGTTAGAAAGAGCGTAGAAATTGGCCTACCTATATACCTATAATAATACCTTATATATAGCTATATAGCTGATTTTTCGTCGATATAACGACTTCCTACTACGATATAAAGTCGCCGACTAATGGATCTTCGGCATACCCGATTTGGCTAGCAAAAATGGCTATATCTCGATTCATTAATCGACTCTACTACCACCGAGTATGTCCGTAAAATCCACTACAATCCTTGCACGCTAAAAGTCTGCTACATCCAACACCATCTGGCTGATCGCTCCCCAGGATCCCTACCTACCCCGTCTCCACGACAGCTCCAGCGAGTGAGTGAGTGAATGACCAGGGAAGGAATTTTCCATTGGCTCGACGTGCGTATGGCCTTCAACCCTTCCCTTCCCGCGCGGGATCATGGGACAGCTGCGTCAGCCCAAGGCGTATTCTATGCAGCTTTTGGCGCTTGCACTGGAAAGCTCTTGCACCATGTTGCTATCGCGATAAGCAACACCTAAACTGGAGGTCCCTTGTTGGATTGATGGACCATGTCCCCCTCCTCTCCGTTGGAGCAAGTTAATAAAATGGCCGCAGAGTGAGCGATGACGGGTTTTCTTTGACAGGTTTTTTTTTCACACCTAACTCACTCGGGTTTGTGGTCCAGGCCAGCCTTGCACACGCCACCACTTATTATTTCAGTGCTAGCCGACCACTTTTGTTGCTTCGCTGAGATATTCTAAACCTTCGATGCATCGACAGGGCGCTCTGTGATGCGCTGCTGCTTTGGGTCGTGTGCCTTGCGTGCCGCTTTGCCTGGCTGACTCGTCCGGGTCGGCTGCTGCTGAGTAGTACGAGGGATGGGTCGTCTTCATCCTAAAGGTCACTTTCTTGACATCCAGCTCGCCAATGGCTATTTATCCTCGACAGCGACTACAACAACAACAACAACAACGACTGCCTACTTACATCCATCCCACACTCACGCGAGCAGCTACATCACTCCTCTCCGACTAGCGCCACCACGGGAGGAGTCTACACGTGTTCAGCTCCAGAAGCAGAGAATTTACGAATACAATTCCAAAGTGCTGGTCGATCCCAGCGCGATTCCTGGATTCAAGACCTCGGCTGGTATGTGAGCAACTTTATTATTACAATATTTCTTTGGCTTCAAATTAATAAGGCGAGCGGAGGTCTTGTTAGCCTCAAATCGCGCTTCACCAAACTTTACATTTTATGATCTGACCTGCCGTCACCCGAGTATCGCATTCGCGTGCTGATCGGGCGGACCATAGCATTCTTTGGATCTTTGCGAACAAATTTACGACTGCACGCCTCTCCGCCGCCGAGTCCGATTTCGACGCCAAATTCTATGCGCGGATCTGCAACATCCCTGCCGCCTCCATCGCCTCTGTCGGGTCCCGTCGACTCAGTCATGGACACCGACCACACCGATGCGGTGACACCCGAAGACCCTCTGGCGGGCGTGCCAGAGCTCAGCTCGTATCTGGCAACAGATGACTTCGAGAGAATGGAAGCGCTCAAGCTTGTAGCTGATAGCATCGCACAGCAGCGCAATGCAGCCAACCGAGCGCTCATATTTCACCCGCTGAACATGGCGGTGATGATTGGTGTATTGGCGTTCGTAGGACGATGGCTGACGGAAAAAGGCTACGATTGGTGGATGGTCGGCTCGACGGTTCTTGGTATCCTGATGGCTGGTCTGGCAGCATGCCGAATCTGGTCGCAAGAGTACATCATTCGGGCAGAAGATATCAATTGGGCTTGGGCAGGCGATGCGGACTTTTTGGTCACCAAGTTTGGAGACGAGGTCATTGGAACCGTGTTGATCGAATGGGTTTCCGGCGAGAGCAGGACAAAGAAGAGAAAGGCGTGGCGCGGCCTGATCAAGGCGTGGACGGTAAAACTGAAATATCGAGGGAAGGGTGTTGGGAGCGGGTTATTGGAAGATGCTGTCAAGGAGGCCAAGAAGAAGGGTGCCGAGTCTCTGGAATTTGACGATGATCATGCCAGTGAGTGCACCACCTGAGAGTGAGTGGGCATCCGGAGATTCAATACTGACCACGAACCAGATTCAAAGCGCGTGCTCCCCAGAATGTATAATGGCGCTTTTGATAGGCGTGAAGCGAAGGCGAGAGAACAGCTACAAGACCTGATGGATACCAGTCCGAGTCGGAAGAGGAAGTAACGGAACGATTTCACGAAGAACAAGACGCACGTCTGTACAGCTTTTAGAGTTACCAATATACTTCTTTGCAATGCGGTCTCGTGGGTCGAGACGAGCCTGGCATTGGTGAGGTTCCAAGCTTCCAGCACCGCAATATCGACGATACTTCCCGTCTTTTGGCCAGACTAGAAACGCCGTGGAGCTGGCTGGACACAATATTGGACAAAGTATCTCCTTGAAGTGAACTAATTGAGGTATTTTATTTGACAACTGTGAGTATGATGACCATGATGGTAAGACAACAGGACTCGCGCGCCAAGAGTCTGTTTACAGAGTGTCATCTGTATCCAGGAGGCCGGTCCGGTGGTTTTCTCTATATTGCAAAGATGTATACGGCTTCCTGCATGCGGATGACACGCTGGATATTGAAAGCTTTGGCAAGAACCCCGCTGGCGATCTCTTGAAACAGCCTCGGATGGGCTAAAGAAATAGATTCATTGGGCTAGCCGCGGCAACAAGCATTTTTTTAATAGACGATCGCACACGAACACATCGTCAAAAGTCTCTCACGCCTCTTGCGTCCAAAGACGGCCGTTAATCTAGCGTTTTGGGCAACGGAACCTTTTTAGCAACCTTCAAAGCACGATGAATGGTTGAGTCTATCCTAGATCTACGCAAGAGGCATATATGCTCCATTCTAAGCTTAAATGTTCTCGAGCCAATGGGTGACTAGTATGGTTTTCAAATTTGAAATTAAGGCCCTACGAAGCTCAGGACCTAGGATAAGGTTCTTTCGAAGCTTACTATCGCACCACAACCCGATCCGCGATGCTTCGGATAGTTGTTTACTTCCGCTAGTTCCTGCCCCTGCCTGCATACAGAATCATTCTGGATTTCTAGTCCGGGCTCGGCTACTCTACTTTGAGATCTTCGTTGCCTTTCAGCCAAATTTGACGGCTTCGAACAGGCTCAGCTACGTAGTCACGATTTATTGTGCTTTGGGATCGCTGAGAAGGTTTCGTTGCTCAAACACTTGAATAATAGCTTTAGAGACGGCATCTAATTTGGAAGATGGCACAAAAGAGGCTGCGAGAGAAGCGAGCGCGGTACCTTTTCGATCTTGACGCCATCCCCGGATCAGCTGCCATGTGGTTGATCCTGCTGAACAATTGCTGGCCCGAGGTGTGAAAAAGGGCCTGAATTTCATACCGCTTTCGCAATATCTGGCCAACCAGAACCCATGGTGGACCTGAAGGATTCGGCTTCAAGAAATTATGCTGCAAAACGCACAGCACATCACACACTGAACTCCTCGGTCCATCCTACTTTCCCGAGGACAAGACCAGCATAGTATAAAGATCTATGCCAAAGACTGCCTTTTCGGCGTGACGTGCGCTCGCACTCACACTGAATGCTTGTCAGGACAGTACCATATTCGGTCGAATCGTTGTAAGATTGTCCAATGGCGTCTTGTCATGTCTGCGAGAACTAAAGACGATTCGGCCTGTTAGATGGCTCGGCCTGCGCCACCAGTCCTACCACGCCTACGCCTACATTACAGCCACAAGCCTCGGCACGAAAGAAAGACCAGTCTGTCAGAGCCAATGGGCCATATGTGTGGAGAAGCCCAAGCTACTAATGCAAGCAACGATTAGCCTTGAACACAGTGCTTGGGCCGAGACTGACAGCATTGAGGTATATCATAACGGCGACGAGCCCACCGTTCTATCTTGCTCTCGTCCGTGTTCAAGTTGACCAAGAACCACCTTTCATCTATCAACATCGTCAAAGTCAAACATGGCCATCATGAAGGGAGCAGCACTGGCATGCCTCGCCGCATCGGCATTGGCCGTGCCTACTCCCACTGAGCAAGGGGCAGCAAACAACGTCGTTGAAGCTCGCCAGGCTACGACACAAGCCCCAATCACGAACCAAAACCAGTTGGACGCAGCCTTCTCGAGCCTCCCCGCCGATGCCAAGTCTCTGTCGGCAGGGATTGCAGCAGGAGAAGCCATCTTCGAGAATATCGTTCCACTTCCGGGCCCAACCTCAATCCCACAAATGCAGGCTACTCTGCAAAAGATCACCCAGGCCAATCCAGGTGACATCTTCAAGAGTGGAGCCGAAATTCTACTCAATGGTCTTGCTGGTGGCGACTATGTGACTATTGCCAAGGCATACTTGCTCGAGAGTAGCACCTTCAACATCAATCCAATTCCACCGAAGAGTGTGAGCTGAGCTGAGCTATATTCCCCGAATGCATGCACTGTACTGATATCAGCAGAACATTTACAACATCCCTGGTGATGCGCCATACGATCTGACTGAGGCGCAATTGCGTCAAGTCATTTACATCCCGCCAGACTTCACCTACGGCAGGATCCCACCGGTCTTGTTCCTGCCTGGTACCGGTGTCGAGGCTGGAGCAAACTTCGGACCAAACTTTGGCAAACTGTTCAAAGCCCAAAAGGTTGCGGATCCAGTCTACGTCAACATTCCCAACAACAACTTGGGAGATATTCAGGTCGTTGCTGAATATGTCGCGTACGCGATCAACTACATCTCATCCATCACCAGCAAGAAAGTCAACACCGTGTCCTGGTCTGCAGGCTCCATTGACGCTCAATGGGCGCTCAAGTACTGGCCTTCGACGCGCAACAACACTATAAACAAGATCTCCATCTCACCTGATTACCACGGCACCATCTTCGCCCAGATCCTCTGCCCAGGCTTTGAGACTCCAGGCTGCACCCCAGCCGTCGCCCAACAAAACTACAACAGCACCTTCATCCGCACCCTCCGCAACAACGGCGGCGACCAGTCCTACGTCCCAACCACCAACGTCTACAGCATCTTCGACGAAATCGTCCAACCCCAAGAAGACCCCAACGCCTCAGGCTTCCTGAACCCAGGCCCAGGCGGCGTCTCCAACACCGAGCTCCAATCCGTCTGCACTCCTTTCCTCCCCGGCGGGACTCTCTACAACAGCCACGAAGGCGTCCTGTACAACGCTCTCGCCTACGCGCTCGCCAAAGACGCCATCCAAAACGGTGGACCAGGCCAACTCTCTCGTGTCAATGCTAGTGCCGAATGCGTGAAATTCGCCGCTGATGGTTTGAGCTTGCCGGATATTTTTGCTACTGAGGCTGTGATTCCTGAGGCTGGCTTTGCGATTATTGCGTACCAGCCGAAGGTTGCGCAGGAGCCGCCGATTAAGGCTTATGCGAGGAAGGATACGCCGGCTTAGAGGGAATAAGGGGGGAGAGAGAGAGAGAGAGAGAGAGAGAGAGAGAGAGAGAGGTGGGTGGTTGGGGAAAAAGTTGTGGGGTTGTGTAGAATGTATGTATGTCACGAATGGAAATGATTTGTTACAGTCTTTTGCACCTGCGACAATGTGACTGTGCTTCTGCAATTATCTATTATAACTTGCGCTTTGTTACTCGTCTACGGCGTGAGAACTTGGTATTAGGATCGCAACTGCGGCAGCATGCTCATCACGCTACCGTGGAGCTTTGATAGTTGGTTGCATATTCGCCAATTCAAGCCTACCCAGCAGCTCGCGAGTTGGGACACACTCTCAGCCGATCCCGATATTGCCCTTCTTCTATGCAAAGTTATTAAGGTAATGTAGGTAAAGACATGTCAAAAACATCGAATGATCCATGTTCAAGGAAATTCTGAAAGTATGGCCAGTTCCATTTCTTGAGGACAGTACAGTAATGTATGAAACAGATTAAGAAGGGTTCAGGAATTTCTCCGCTCCGTCTCTCTCTCTCTGTCCAGGAATGAAAGAAAAATCAAATTGCATGTGACGGCACTGGGAAAGCAGCTATATGCAAT